TTAGAAATTGGTAATTGAAATATAAGTTAGTAACTAACGTAAGCTCAGTTCGTTTTGGTTTAATCAGTTTTTACTAAGGCAAGTCTTTACAGACTTCTGTTTGACTGTGAAAGAGCCATGTTTAAGGTTTTCTCTGGGAGTTCTGCGATCTGGTCGCAACACATGCTTTTAAGTGTGGCACTTAAAATTTGTTACGAATAAGAAACCTTTCCATCCTTTTTTTACCAAATGCACTTCTATTGTACTGGCTTATACCTTTTTGTTATCACGTTGGTCGTCTGCTTCTACAACAATTTTGAGAAAACGAAGGTAAAAAATTCGCACCATACAAACCGTGTGCGTAACATTCAGTGACTGTCAGAAACCATCAACATGCCCACACTGTTGGAAAGTATGTTTAGTTCATTTTCCCTCGCATACTTTGATTCTAAAATCCAGAACCTCTAAGGAGGCAATAGCATTCTCCTACTCAGCAGCAGCAGACCTTTTTTAATTTTTCCTATCCATAGACTTCTTATTAGCTTGACGCAGGAACAAAATGAAATTAAATTAGTGTCGATAAAACAAAACAAGTTGGGCAAAAACCAATTTTCTTGAAATTTGACACTGAAATAATTTTTAAAGGCAAGAAGTGCGAAGTCTGCAAGAAGAAATGTTCTGGCGATGTGTTGAAGGCTAACGACAAGTACTTTCATATTCAGTGCTTTCAATGCAAACGTGAGTTTTTTTCTTTCAAATTGTATCCTAGGCACTTATTGCGTGTCGGCATCATTTTATTTTATACAACTTTATATGATTAAGTATATATAGATTACTTCGGATTCCTCATGCGTGTTTACTCTAATTTTATGAAACCTCTCAACATTTTGGTTGTATTTCGTTCGAGCTAACTTTGTAGATCCAAAAACCTTACATTCTCTGATTATATAATCTGATTTTACCATATCTTTTACTTTCACTTGACCGATTTTAGAATGCTCCAGACCTTTGGGCGAATCAGGATTCTACCTGACATCCGATGGGTCGTACCTTTGCCCGGAGGATTATCGAGCCATTGGTAGAAGTGCCTCATTACCGCGTCCAACAGTATCCGAAACACCAGCTGCTGCGCCGAGACCAGCCGCTGTCAATGGCGAACAAAATATCAACAATGTGAACCAGAAGGAAACCGAGCAGCTTTCACCGTTAGGATCGCCATCTGGTGCGTGTTCTTTTTCTAGTTCTGCTTTTCATATGTGCACCTTAGACATCATTACAAGCGAAAGAACGCTCGCCATAATCTACAGATATGAGGGTGGCGTTGAAAGCAAGAGTGCATTTGGTAGACAAGTAGATTACGATCTTCAATGTGGTGCGTTCGCGTACTTGCGTATTTTTGTAAGCGCTATAATTCGGCACCTCTTGAGAGTTCGTGCGTGTCT